CACGGGTGAGGGGACACGTCCCGTCACGTAGTGAAAGCACTCGGGTGAGGGGACACGTCGCGTCACGTAGTGAAAGCCCGTGGTTGAGGGGACAGGTCGCGTCACGTAGTGAAAGCGCTCGGGTGAGGGGACACGTCGCGTCCCGTAGTGAAAGCCCGTGGTTGAAGGGACAGGTCACGTCATGTAGTGAAAGCACACAGGGTGAAATATTTTCTGACCCCGCCCCTGCCTTGAAGAAAGTTTTCGGAGTTCACTGGTCTTTCTCTCATTTTTTTAGATACTTCTCTGTGTTTCATTGTGGATAGTTTTTATTGCTGTTCTTTCCGCTTCACTAATCTTTTCTTCTTTCGACGTTTAATCCTCTCTTAATCCCACCCAGTCTGTTTTTCATCTTAGCCATTGTAGTCTTCATCTCTAGATACTCCATTTTGGTCTTTCTTTTATCTTTCTGGAGTCTGCGTGAGTCTTTGAACAGATAGGATATGGTTGTAATAACTGTCTTCATGGTCGTCACTGCTGCTTCCAGCATCTCTGTCGCTTCTGGGTGGGGTTCGGGTGACCGATTGTTTCCTCTTCAGTACGGGGTGTGCCTTCCTGCCTCTTTTCTAGGCCCGGTTAAACCGTGATTCTGTGCCGGACACTGTGGGTTGATCTGGTTGGGTGCTGGGTATTTTTGTATTCCTGTAAGTCTTGATCTTTGTTCTGGGGTGCAGGTAAGTTACTCGGAAACCATTGGATCCTTTTGGGTCTCGCTTTGATAATATGTCAGGCCGTGGTGCTCACTCTGGGGCGGGTGTGTCCCCACAGCTGAGGTGAGCTTTCTGGGGTCCTTTCCTCAATGTCCTGCAAGTTCCTAGTTTTCCGGTCTCATCGTGTGAACGCTGGACACTGTTCCCTCTGGTGTTCTCAGGTGCGTCCCTCTCTGCCCAGGCAGTTCCCTCACAGTGTGTGCTGGTCAGTTCTGATTCTCCCCGTACTTGGTGGAGACCTTTCCGAGGCAGCCACGACAGGAGGACAGGCCTCACTCACAGTGGGCTGTGAATCCTGCTTATTTCCTTTCCATTTACTCTCTCTGAGCTGTGCTAAATTTTCTCAGATACTACTTTGGCTTCTTTATTTGGGCTATACTGTGACGGCACACTCCTCCTTCCCACCCCTGATTTCCTGCGTCCATTCAACCAGCTCCTGACCCTCTCTGCCTTCTCATCTCGCCTCCAGACAGGAGCTGCCCATCTAGTCTCACGTATCTACTTGAGCTAAGAAGCATGCTCTTCACGAGTATCATTTTATGTCCCATAGTCCAGTCTAATCTTTGTCTGAAGAGTTGGCCTCGGGAATGGTTTTAGTTTTGGGCTAACAGAGAGTCCAGAGGTCATGTCTTCCAGGATCCCGCCAGTCTCAATCAAACCATTAAGTCTGGTCTTTTTACTAGAATTTGAGTTCTGCACCCCATTTTTCTCCTGCTCCGTCAGGGACTTTACTGTGTTCCCTGTCACGGCAGTCATTGGTGGTAGCCAGGCACCATCTAATTCTTCCAGTGGCAGGCTGATGAAGTCTCTGGTTTATGTGGCCCTTTCTGTCTCTTGGGCTAATACTTTCCTTGTATCCATGGTGTTCTTCATTCTTCTTTACTCCAGGTGGTTGGGACCGATTGATGCATCTTAGATGGCCGCTCACTACCTTTTAAGTTGTGTCCATATTTAAATAAATAATATTGTCAGTGTTTGTTTTCTCTTTTAATCCAATAATTATTTAGAAAGGCATTGTTTTGCTCTCTTTCTCCTCGGAAAAGTCAGTGCCTGTTGACAGGGGAAAGAAGTTCAAACAAGAATAACCAGTGAAATGCAAATCCTGACTTCTAGTCATTGCTCCCAGTTTCCTGAATGTTTTTCCAGTGAAATTCTCTGCATTGACCTGAATGAGTATCTCTCTCAAAATACCCAAATAGTAGCATATAACACTGTCTCCTTTCATTGCATTAATATATCTTGAAGATTTTTACAAATTAGCACTTACAGATCTATGGTATCGTGCTTAGCAGCTGCATGGTCTTCCATTGTTAAGTGGATTTAATTTGTGCCCTATTCATGGAGATTTAGGTACTTTTTAGTCCTCTGCTGCTCTACATTGTTTCCATTTTTTGTAGCCCTGGAAGAATATTTTAAAATTTCCAAGTAGACGTGGCTTTTTTTGGTGGGGGAAGGGTGATTTAGTTTGTTTTTAGTTTTAACTGTCCTTTTATTAATTTCTGGAGCCCTGGTGGTGCAGTGCTTAAGAGCTCAGCTGCTCAAAAGGTCGGCAGTTTGAATCCACAGCCGCTACTTGGAAACCGTATGGGGCAGTTCTACGCTGTCCTGTAGGGTCACTATGAGTCAGGATCGACTCGATGGCAATGTGTTTGGTTTTTTTTTTTAAATTAATTTCTAATTTTATTGCATTTATCAGCCATATGATTTCCATTTTTTAGAATCTGCTACAATTTTGCAACTTGTAGTACATTGTTGTGAAGGTTCCAGATACATTTTCAAAGAGTGCGTATTCTGCCTCCTGAGTACAGTGGTCTGTAGGTAGCAAACCAACCCTGACCCTTTTCTGAGAAGCATGTCGTTGCCTGCCATTGTGGTGGCACATCTGTTTGTTCTTCCAGCTTTGCCTTCTGTATTTAGAAGCTTTACTGGGAACTGATTTGTGACTTTATCGGCGTCAAATTTCCATCTTTGTCCCTTTTAATGCTTGTCATCTGGAGTTCCATTTTGTGTGAGGTTCTTGTTTCTCACCTGGTTTCTCCATATGGAAACCCTGGTGGCGCAGTGGTTAAGAGCTAGGGTTGCTAACCAAAAGGTCAGCAGTTCGAATCCACGAGGCGCTCCTTGGAAGCCCTATGGGGCAGTTCTGTTCTGTCCCGTAGGGTCGCTGTGAGTCGGGATGGACTCAGCAGCAATGGGTATTTTTGTTTGTTCTCATGTTAGCATTTCCTGGCATACCTTTTTTTTTTCCCCCATCTTTTATTTTTAACCAAGATCCTTGAATTAATCTCTCATTTAGTTTGGGGTGTGTTTCTTTGTAACAACTTTTAGTAAATTTTTAACCCAAATCTTGAGGTCATTGAGCTAATAGGAGAATTTGATCCTTACACAGGTGTTGTAATTATTGATTTAGTCTTATCTTGCTGTCACTATTCCCCCCATATTTTCTGCTTATACTTTTATGTTGAAAACATTACAAAAGTCTTAACCCTGCTTGGCTGAGGCCGTTCCCTAGATCAGTGTCACCCGGGTCCCTCTCACATCTCTGACAGCTCCGGGCGTCTCTGCTCTCCCAGGCGGGCCCTCCTGTGCTGAGCGGGGCCCTGACCACCAGGTGTCTCTGCTCTCCCGGACGGGCCCTCCTGTGCTGAGCGGGGCCCAACCACCAGGTGTCTCTGCTCTCCCGGACGGGCCCTTCTGTGCTGAGCGGGGCCCAACCACCAGG